TTGACCATGAAGCCCTTATCATCACGACGAGACTGCACCTTGAGGTGATTTGATGGCTTGTTCTCCTCTCAGACCCAACGAGCTACACAGGATGGCTTTTGTCAAGCCAGGAGATCTTATCATGCCTGGAAAGTCAATGGGTAGAGATCAGACGAAGTTCAGTCTCCTGGTCCTCCAGGTTGGGAGTTTGACTAGAATTTGCGTTTCAGTCGGTAAAAATGGTGGAGGAATAATCGATCCAAGTAAATGGGTCTCCACTTCGCTTCACTCGCTGCCTTGCGGTCAGGTTCTTGTCAGAACTAAATGCTTTGGACGAGAACTCTAATCGTTCTCCTGCTTATTGGCTGGACACCCTAGTAATACCCGTCCATCAAACTCCAATGCACACACAAACTAAAAATAATTTCATACTGCATCGGTCGTCGCGCAGGATAATCAGGACCGCGCTGCCCATTGCATCGAGCTTGGTGGGTAGTGATAAGTGGGCTAACAACCATTTGGATAAGTCTTTTTAATTCCTTATCTTCCGCACCCAGTCTTCTCCAGTTGTCCCCTCTGCCGACCATCATCTGTTCCTATCCAGTACCAACTTCCGACATAGTTCTCGACGGACAGCAACATGGCGCTCCAGTTCAACTGGTACGTTAACTCAAACCTACCACCTAGCAATAAACTATCGTTGGCGTGGCTTAGTGCAAAATTGCTGGTCCTATTGGACCACTGGTGTTGAGCCTGACCACGCATTAGTTTTGATACAACTCACTCTTCGACTGACTGGTTGACGACAAAGCCAGCAAACTCGCATAGCTTATCATCGACTGTCTGTTCCTACAGTACATGCACACTATAAGTCAGAGCTAGTGCTTGAGCTAAGCGCGCTTCACAGTGATGATGTAGATGAGCAGTGGGATCAGATTAGGCGAGCAATGCATTCCGCAGCGAATGTTGCTTGTGGGCCTGAGCCTCAAACCCGACTGAGGCATTGAATATCTGATGAGTCTGTGGCACTAATGAATCGAAAACGACGAATCCCGACCTACCAGGATCAAAACAGAGTTAGGTGGCATCTGCA